TTGGTTACTTGAAATAAAAGATAAACTCTCAAATATGTTTATATTTTTGATGTAGAAGAGGGGACCTTGGGGCAGAAGACAATCGTTTGATTTAAGTGGCGTTTCTTTTAAAAACCTTCCTAGCACTACTTTTCAGAAAGGGCCAACAATATACTGCCATGATTGTAGGCCTGAGCGTTTAAACAATTTGACCCTTGTGACATTTAGGTTGAATTTGGGTAATGGTACGTTTCGCAAAAATTAATAAACAGCACTGCTTACGACTCTATACCTTGTGGTTATTCAGAAGTTGCTTTTAACAAACTACGCACCTGTGACCATTGAAATGAGTCAAGTTAACTTCTTTTCACAAAGCAAGCCACTTGCCAACTTTAGTTGTCTCCAGCAGGTAATAGATCCAGTCAAACTGTGATGTCACTACTTTTGTTTCAGTATCCAAGGTTTCCTAATGTTGTTATCTGAATTAACTCTGAATTCCAATTTTGTCTGTTGACTTCATTGTAGTTCCTTATTTCTTTTCCTTAAGATCCTACATGTATAAATATGTTGTCATGAATCTTCATTTCTACATAAATGGGACATAAAGTGAAACCCATTTTTACGACCCATCAGTTTGGGTCAGGAGAAGGTGGTCCAACATGACACCAAAGAGTGAGAGATGGCAGGCATGGGTAACATGACATGCGCTCCCATTCCATGATGTTGACTTAAAACTATTCTGCCTGTACAACCCTGCAATTCAGGGATCGACAAAGGAATACATCTACTGTTACCCACTGCATTGTATGGTAATTTGCTTATGTGCCCTCAATTTGGGGACACAAAAGGGACCAAAATAAATCTGTTGCACCCATTGATGTATTTTGGATATTTGTCTTTCTCTCTACTTCTATCAGCCATTTATTTCCTAGTGCCTTGATTGACAACACTTTCACTGTTGAACGTTCGCCCAGGTGAGGAAAAATATCGGTTCTGTTCCCAGGCCAGGATGTACTAAAGTCCTAGAAAATGGTAGTTGTTATTCCCTGCCTAATGTTGAGCATTTAAAGTAAAGGCAACAACTGGTTCACCCGTTGTCAGTATAATGTGACCGGGCGGAAAGCTGTGCTGGGTGTCTTCAGCGTATTCAAGGTATTTCAGCGAGCTATCGCTATAAAGTCAGAATCAGATTCGCGCTATCACAAGGAGGCAAGTATATCAACATACCCTGTCTCCGGCACACATACACAACACACACATAGGCGGGCATGTCTATGAATTACCTTAGCTGTTGATAGGATGTTAAACCCTATAAAACCAAACCAAATTGCCTTTAACTTTTTACCACAGTAATTCCAGAAACCTAAATCATAACAGAATGTTGTGAATACCTAATTATAGTAACGATGTTATCGTATATAATTATAGGGTTTGAGGGTGGTTGGATGGCCAAGTGGATAGCGCACTTGCCTTTCACCAAGATGGCCGGGATTTAATTCCGCGATCGAATGAGAGAAGGTATTGGTCACCGGCCTAATCATGTGGGGTTTTCCCCGGGTACTCTGGTTTCTTTCCACAACAAGACCCTCTGAAGCTTTCATCCGGGCCAACAACAGTACTATATAGTTTATTTATTATTGTGAAATCAATAAATTTTATATCAATTATACAAAATAAAATCCAGTTTTATCCGCCTTCATCCGGGCCAACAACAGGACAGAGTACTGACTAGTTTCGTAATTGTTGCGAAATCAATAAATTTTATATTAATTATAGCATTTACTTTTGTGTCTTCATTAAAATACAAAACAAAATCCAGTTTTATCCTTTCATCATTTAATGACTAATAGCGTGATTGATTTACAGAGAATAAATCATAGCAATTTCATAAATAAATCTTAATGCATACAGTATTACTAATCATAAATAGAATAAGTAAAGGACACAGTACATCTCCCTGCTGTAGACAAAATTATGTAGACACACAGTGTCTCTCTTCATCACGTGTTTTCCATTGTATGTTTCGTGCTAATCTTGTATAAAACCAGCTTTATTAAAACACCTGGTTCATTGAAACTGTGATCACCACAAGATCGTTGAGTAAAATGTGTATTGTACCTTAAAATTATTTGTATTTTCAGCTATTAATTATTCATTTCTTTATTTCCAAGTGGCTTTTTCTAAATTAATGTGAAAATAAATATCTTGCAAAACTGAAATGAGATTACTACATGCAGTTATGAAATTTAGAATGGTTTTACATACAGGTAATGAATTGAATTGCCATTTTCTAATATAAAAACAGGTATATTGATATGAAACATGCGTAAATAAAATTAGAACATTTTTTCTCATATAAGTATGTTTACAGGTACCTGTCTATGTAATTAATTAAATCTTACATATTTTAGGTTTATAGGAAAGTGCACTAACACGGGTGGTGGTCATATGAGTGAACATGGGCTAATATTAGTGGTAAAATACATACAATTCAAATATGATGCAGTAAAGATCAAAATCTCTAGGGAAATACTTTTGTAAAGTAACGATTTGATGTGCATTTAATTCATACAACTAATAATGAAAGATTTGTTCTACAGGAGAATATAAATCTGTTATCTTTTCCTGAAAGAACAGTGAAAAAAAGTTTTGTTAATAAACATGACATCACTTAAGGTTATAAATGACATTTTACTGAATGTGAATTGTGTTAGAGTTATCTCCCTTCAAACTTATTAATGTAATTCAGACAACCTGAATGCGTAATCAATTGAATTGTGTACAGAGTTGTCTACCTTCAAAACATTTTAACAACTGCATTATCAAATAATTCAGTTTACCTGAGTATTCAATTAATGGATTTAATTTAGAGTTATCTCCCTTCAAAATATTACATTAACATTATCAAATATTTCAGGTAATTTGAGTGTGAAATCAATGGAAGCATTCTTGTTTATTTTTAAAAAGAATTAAAATATTAAATTAGAAATTTGATTATTTGATTACTAACAAAATCAGAATAACTACTTTTATACCTTAATGATATTTGAAGGTGATCCTCAGTGTTAACTCTTTGGAGGTATAATACAGCATGTCCTAATCAGATGCACCGTGCATCCTTAAAATGCTAAATGACAACATTCTATTAGATTTGCGAAAATTGATGTCTCTCTTTTTTCCTCACAATGCTTGTTTAGGTGTTCATGATAAACTGCTTTTACAATTTTAGTAAGAGTTGCAGTACATTATGAACAAAATTACTAAATTTAGAACCAAGATATATTATGTCTGAATTAACAAACAGCTAATATTGATGAAATTGACAGACAATTTCTCATCCAAACATCGAATATTTAATGAAAATTGATGGCACTTACATTTGATTAGAATGGATTTTTTTTTTTATATATATATATAAAAACAAAATTAGAAAAAAAAAACTGACAATTTTTTAATAAAACATCATAAACCATTTTCTTACAAAATCATTTCCGACACCGTCTTCTGTTGAACAGGAAGTCAATTGTTTACTATATATATTGGTCCTCTTCTGCATTGAATTATTTATTACAAACTCGTCAATCCTGTCAGTGAGTAAACTTATAAGGGAAGAGCTTGGTGTATATACAATGTACATGTACAACAAAATCTATTGCAATGTCCTTCATTTCATTTGCCAACTTTTGTAACTCCACCATATTTTGTTCCACCATTATGCCTTTGCCAACATTTACCAACTAGCCTATGTAGTGCCATCATTTTCAATTACTAACTTGCCTAGTATGGTACACTGGGAAACACTAAAAAACAAAAAAATCAATTCTACAACTTAATCTTTCTAATTTTACCAGTTTACTTCAAACACGTACTAGGCAAGTTAGTAATAGAAAATAATGTAACAGTAGCACCATTTATATATCCCAATTTGCTTATAATGCAACCATTTTTTTAAGTTCCATATTTTCCTCTTTTCCGAATGATGTCTTCGTACTAATCTGTCTCATTGTATACCGTCTTTGTGTATTGCAGAGTTATCTTCTCTTGGGAGAAGGTATTGATTGTTGCGTCATTGGTTTGTGTGAGAAAATTACGACGTTTTCTCAAAAATTGTTCACGTTACTCTCACGAACAAGTGACGTAACAATCAATACCTGTTCCCAAGAGAAGATAACTCTGCGATACGGAAAGACGGAATTGACAAACAGTCAGGGGAGTAAAATTTGAGCTGTTCAGCACCTGAGGCTAGTAGAATTTATGTTGGGGCTATCGAAAATTTTAAAAATATATTTACTATCAAAATATAGGTGGGAGTAGTAGAATATTTCAATATTTTAAAAATGAATTTATTCACCCATGCAAACTATGAGTATAACCCCAGAATTGCTGAAATGAGGACAGAAAAACAAGTTTTGTTTGAGATACCTATACATACAGACAAGGAGATAAAATAAGTAAAAAAAAACCAACAGCTTGTATATATTACTACTTAAATTCATCCGAGTACAAATATTTATTGTTGTAACGAAAATCAACACCTATAATTTATAAGTAGGTGCACTTTGTGACGATAACAAAACAATATTGACCAGTCAAAAATATACATGTATACGAAAGTTGAATATTGATAAAACACATGTATTTTACGTAAGCTGTCTGTTACCATATCGACATCAGTTTACTCACAAGATTGAAAGCCCTGGGCATACTTTGTACATCATTAAACGTCACAATGAACTGTACATGGTATTTACTGAAAACATGGGAATAGAATTGAAATCTTTCGAAAAGTTAAGCAATTTCTACAGTGACATTTCACCAAGCTTAATTATTCACCAAACAACAAACATGAATATTCATGACGGAATGCATATGTTTATCAACAATTTGTCCATTATATTGGGATCCAGTCATCTAAACTTATCGTTATACGATAAACAGAAGACAATGAACATTGGAAAGATTTTTTTTCCTGAATTGTTTGAAATCTAATATTCTGGGATAAAAAAGAATGTCACTGATCAGAAATTGTGATTTTTTTTATTTTTTTAAAAAAAATTGTTGGAAAAGCTAGTAAAACAATAAAGTCTGGTACAACCAAACATCTAGTCCAGCTCCTCAAGTCTGATACATATACCGGTACATGTATTGGTATAGTACAACACATCAATTTAACATTGAAAAATATGTACCGTATTTCTTAATATTCAACAGAAAATATTAATTTATTTCAACAAAAAATGTTTGTCACAAACTAGATGTATTCACTCACCCTTAAAATGTTAAAAGGAAAAAAAAGGAAAGAAGAAACCTGAGAATGTCGCATAAAGGAACGCCATGTCTCGTTTAACCCATTCACCACTGCTGACCATAATGGAATCATCCATATCAATGCATGGTAGAGTCTACTAAAGTTACATAGGGGTGAAAGGAACAATAGTTCTGTAACACAATCTGTAATTTGTGAAAATATGGAATTCGTAAAACAAGTGCATTTAAGAATGGCATATTTGAAAAGTAGATGCAATAACAAATGTTTAATAATCAATTTCATATTTCATTTAGATTTCATGATACTTTCGTCTCTGTACAAGCATTGAGGTCTCGAGCAATGTTCCCCCTGTGCGTTAATTGGACTCCAGGAATCATGGGTAACAGGAGTTGGACCTCTCAAAAAAGGTCAAAAGCTATCGTTCTGGGAAATTCTTGGTAAAACTACTGATTGTCGACTGTATAAAATTAATTGTTATATGTTTGTGAAATACAATTCATATTAGACAGCAGTTCAATAGAGTTTTATGCTTTAGGAAATTGCCAATTGTTCCAAAAAATAAAATCTTTATCACACAGATATAACACTGTATAAAGACCAAGAAATGATTAAAGTCTAGCAACTCTGAATAATTGTTCTGCTAAATATGGCCAGCTCCCTTTTGTTTGTGACTGAGTTGGTGGGATGAATGCTTACACAGTACAGCTACAGGTTGTTCTGATAAAACATGAGGACACGATACACTTTTTGCTTTCAGTGATATTTTTAACCCTTGCACCACTGCTGACCATTAATGGACTCATCCATATCAATGCCTGGTAGAGTCTACTAAAGTTACAATCGGGTGAAAGGGTTAACAATCAACAAAAATACTGAGATACAAAATGAAAATTATCATCAATTTCCAGACAATTTATTATCGAAGCCCATAGAACAATTTATTAATTAACACTACTCTATAGGTTTCTAAGAATGGACCTATTTTTGAGCAAGGTAGCATTTTATACATACCCTTTTAATTAAATGATGAACCCCCCAAGTAACCTCTATTTTTTTAAAAAATAGTTTACTAGTCAAAAGGCCATTGCTTTAATTTTATCCTTTAACTCATTCCCTTGAAATTTTAAAATGAACTATTCCAAACTTTGAATTGGAAGAGTTCAAATATGTCTTCAGGATGAATGAGTTAAGTTAATTCATAGTCATAAGGCAAACTATGATATAAATGCAATGGCCCTTTAGTACTACATGGTGTATAGTCTTTTTGGGACAAAATACAAGCACTTCTCTAGCACTTTCTTACAAATTCCGAGGTCCAATATCTAAGAGAAAAAAAAGAAGAAAAATGGGCCATGATTTTCTGTTTTAGTGTATGGATACTGTTCTTTAGCCTAGAGGAAAAATTGTTCTCAACAGAATTGTAAGAATCAATTTTTTTTTTTGTGATAAATTCATATCAACAAAAAACTTTTTAACATATCTCGTCATTGACAAAACTTTAAAACAGTCCTTCATATAAAAGGACACATGTTAACTGTCTGATGTACACACAATTTAAACCAGTATTCTTTTTTAACAGAAATGTGAAAAGCAAATTCCAGCCCTTTTCCTGGCCTTTATGAACCACGTATTACATTCTTTTATTTAAACATTGATCTTGATTGTATATCATTTGTAAATGTCCTTATCGACAGAGATCACTACAAAAAAGTCTAAGAGACTTTTCATTTTACTCAATACACAACAAGCACAACATGGCTTCTTCTTTTAGTGTGAGTTTTATTTTTTATGCTCTGCAGTATTAATTATAAAGCTGTATATATATATATAAATATTAAATATGATACTTCAATTGTCATGTGCTAGCTTAAGTGCAGTGTTTTACAGATTTATTTACAAGAGAGAAGTAAACAGCGAGTGCTAGCCATATGTGCCATTAGGAACTCCTCAGGCTTTACAGACATGTTTACAGTAAAGTAGTTATAAACAGTGAGTGCTGTCAACTTGTGCAATTCGGAACCTCTCAGGCTTTATTATAATCTGAACATTCATTGACTGATATTCACATGGATCGACTTTTGTCTTTTTTGAATATTACAATAAATTAAACACAAAACTATTTTATGCACAATGCAGAATCATAAGCAGGGATGTGGGCGCACAATCTGGTTGTCATTAATTACCTGACATTGGAGTTAAATCTTTAGCAGCTTATTAATGACAGTGCGGTAGACAAATTTTATTCTACAAATGGTACAACAGTAAAGTGAAAGCCGAATATTATTGCTAATGCTAAACACCTCATGTTATGATTTCATGTACAAAGACCGTTTTGGTTTGTCCTGTCTTATCAATTATCTCAAAATAATTGAGACTTTAAATGCAAAAACATAAACAGAATTCAAGACTTTTCAGAACTCATTAAAATTTTAACCTAAACAGTGGAAATTTATTATTTTGGACAGTTTTCTCTTAAGTAGAGATACATCTGAAATAACATGTTTTACCCAAAGTCTGCCGACAAAAGAGTTGTCACTTACATATAAAAACTGAATTGTTTTTGAACTTGAGTGTTCAGAGGAGTGTTTAAAAACAATTGTCCATAACAGAAACCTTTACTAGTTGAACTTCTTCAAAAAAACCCACCAAAAAAACCTTCCAATTGTTATTATGTTATTAAAAAATAAAGCAAAGCTCAATTATATACATGTAAAATACTATTATGCACTTTTTGTAGATTTTTAATATTGAACAGCATATTATAAAAATTATTGAAATCATTAAATATGTGAGATAATTTTTTAACTTTTATTCTTATTTCATTTTTTTTTCAAATACAATATCAATCAAATGTGTGCTCTAATTAATGATCAATGATCTCTTGTTGACAATAACTTACTAAGATATGTGTGTTTGACGGATAAATGAAGTATAAACCTCTCTCCATGCCTATTCCAATCTCCGAGTCCCAGATATTTGGGCTGTATCAAAGAATTGCATTTGGTCAAACAACGATTTCATTTCACGAAATTTATGGGGCTAACTCGATTAACAGAAAGAGTAAAATGTGTGTCTGGATGTACTGTATATTATCTAATATATATATAATGTCAAGAAAAGGTAAAAGGGGAGAACCCTTGAATTTGAACATAGATCCATCATTTACTACTCAGAAATCCTGTGGTTGTGGATGTTTATATTGACTATATATAATGTCAACACAAGATAACAAGTGAGAACCCTTGAATCTGAAAGTACACCAGTACTATATATCACACAAGAAATTATGTAGAACTTGTTAGTTTACATTGCGCCGGGAGTGGATATTGAATTAAGCACAACAACGCTCAATGCAATAGCTTCATTATATCATATAGTTCAGTGGAAACTCATCTTTAATATGAACCAACGTGTATGTAAATTGACATTTATGACAAAGTTACGTATTGTCATAGGCAAGAAGTTCTGTTGTTCCTCAGGGTATTTTTGTACACCTAGCTCTGTCGTCAATTAAGTGTTCAAACATTATCGAAAAATTGAATGCAATTTCCTGAACAATTGAAGAGTCAATTTTGTTTTTTGTAAACTGCATCAATTTTTCTAAACATGTTATGAGATTCAGAAAATTTGCTTAATTTCAACTACAGTACTTAAAATGTGTAATACATAGAATCTAAACATTATACAAACACTGAATTGACAAAGTTTTAATTCCTAAAATTCTTCAATAATTTACCAGAACATGATAAGTTTTTACGGAAACCTAGTAGTGATCAATGAGTTTGGACAGAAATATAACTTGGATTAAAAATGAAATATGGTGTGCCCTTTTTGTGGGAAAATGGTTACTTTCACAGCATGACGGAACATTTACAAGTCATATGGAATGAGTTGTTTCCGAGAACAACGATGGATTGAGTCTGATAGCGACAATGGAAATTATGGTATCGGTCCTATCAGGGATACTTGAGTCACCGCTAGAGTGCAGAGTTACCAGCAAGAGACAGAAGAAACTTTTTAAATGGCAAAGTTTTCAATTGAAAAAGGAATTTAACTCAAAACTGATTGTCAAATAAAGCCAATCTAAGCCTTCTACATTCTGAAAAATTCTAAGCAGCAAATAAAAACAGAATCACTCCCAAAAATCTACATATCCTACACCTTGTATTCTACTGTTCCCAGGCCATGAAGCTTAAGAATTCACTATCTAGAAAACGGATAATTCTGGAAATTAATTACGTACTACGTTACAACACTAACAGTATTCAATCTTTTACAAATCACAGACAAACTGTTATATCACACGTAATGGAATGCTATCAGACCTAACCTCCTCATAAAATCACTAGTGACTCGCTGTCTGGTATTAACTAGCTGGCCATTCATTATCCATCAAAAATATTTATCCAGTTACAATCCACAAATATTTATCCAGTTCCCATCCACAAATATTTATCCAGTTCCCATCCACAAATATCTATCCAGTTACCATCCACAAATATTTATCCAGTTCCCATTCACAAATATTTATCCAGTTACCGTCCACAAATATTTATCCAGTTCCCATCCACAAATATTTATCCAGTTCCCATCCACAAATATTTATCCAGTTCCCATCCACAAATATTTATCCAGTAACCATTTCCCATCCACAAATATTTATCCAGTTCCCATCCACAAATATTTATCCAGTTCCCATCCACAAATATTTATCCAGTTCCCATCCACAAATATTTATCCAGTAACCATCCACAAATATTTATCCAGTTCCCATCCACAAATATTTATCCAGTTACCATCCACAAATATTTATCCAGTTCCCATCCACAAATATTTATCCAGTTACCATCTACAAATATTTATCCCGTTACCGNCCCATCCACAAATATTTATCCAGTTCCCATCCACAAATATTTATCCAGTTACCATCCACAAATATTTATCCAGTTCCCATCCACAAATATTTATCCAGTTACCATCCACAAATATTTATCCAGTTACCGTCCACAAATATTTATCAGGTGACTTTTAGGATTCAGCATTTCAATTCCAAAAGGTCAACACGGATTTACAGTTTTTGTTTGTAAATGTTATCTGGACACATCTACATCAATTAGAAGCGATGTCTGACCAAAACTGATGTGGCAACTTGACAATTCTTTAGAATTAAAACCATTCTGTTACTTTCAGTCTTTGACCATGTTCAGATTTAAATCTGACCAAAATTGCTGTATTTACTGGGAACTGGAAGTTTTTTCCTGAAACTAAATATTAACAAGTTTAGTTCACTGAACGGAGAACAACAGTTCGATTGTAAAACATTCAATGTTCAATCATCTTGTTTTTGTCTTTAATAAACTCTTTCCTGATGACCAGAGTTGTCTTGTCCATACACTGGCCATGAAGTTTGAGGGTGGTCACTTACTCTGTTTAATTCAAATGGTCACTCACTTCAGCCATGTAGTCTGACTGGTGGTCACTTATTCCACTGGTCAGTCTAGCTAGTTGCTCACTTTGCTGGTCAGTCCAAATGGTCACTCATTTATTGGTGGTCCGTCCAAATGATCACTCATTTTATGCTGGTCAGTCCAAATGGTCATTCACTCTGCTGGTCAGTTCAGATGGTCACTCGATCACATTGCTGGTCAGTCCGAATGGTCAATCACACTGATCATACTGCCACAGGTGTGGTCACTAATTAACATCAGATTGAGGTGATCAACCACCCGGTCTGAATGAACTGCTCCATACATCACTGTTCTAGATCTACGGTCACTCTCTGAGGTCAGTCTCAGAGACTGGTCATTTCCTGTGACCAGAATGAGCCGGTCATTCGTCGTACTCGTTGGTGAGGAAGTGATAGACGAAGTCTGCTCTCTTCATGTCTTCTTCACCCTGCCCAACAGGCGAGTCTTCCCTTCCCGACCTCAGCCTGCGTGATGTCACGGGGGGAGGGGGCGGCCGCAGAAATATCTTTCCAAATGTTGTCGCTACAAAATATTAAAGAAGGTGGAAAGTAAGAAATTGATATCATACATTCTGTGAAAAAACATACATTGAATTGTCGGTGAATCTAATCCACTTTCCATATGAAGTTGGATCTGCAAGCAAGAGGCCCATTAGGCCTGTATAATACTCACCTGTTACCTTTGTTTTTTGAACTAGATCAGAAGTTGAACTAATTTTTTTTAAAAGAGGAAACAATGGTGTTATTCTCAGATGTCTTTTATTGACCCCCAAAAAAATAGAATTACAACACTTGCTAAGGGGAATGACAGGAACATTGGACTGATGCTTGGTTTGAACCAGAGGGAACAAAAGAGGTACAATATGTCTAACCCTAACCGCTTCAGCCAATCGGAGGACATGGTACGTGGCCCTTAGCTTTTGGATTTTAAACCAACCTCAAAAATAACAACACCTGTTCAGGACAATGAGAATTTTATGCATATCAAGTTTGGTTACATTAGTATTGGCCTAATGGAATCTTCCTTGGTCACAACCATGCAAAAAACACTTGTATGAAGATTTAGTCAAAATCGGCATTTGAAATCGAGATAAAAATGGACAAGGCCGAAATGTTGGATTTCAAATCACTGCATAAAAATGACCTAGAAATGATGAAATATATAACATACAATTGTATATACAAATGTTACTAAATACTAATTGCTTAACTCATTCACCCCTGAAGACTCATTTGAACTCTTCCAATTCAAAGGTTGGAATAGTTCATTATGAAATTTCAGGGGTGAATGTGTTAATCCAAGATAACCAAGTTTTGTAATCTAATAATCCTGTAAAATTTCATGAGTTGAAGAATATCAGCATATCGAATGCAGGGATCATTAATTATTGGTTATAACACCAAATTTGTGTTTCCGTGTAAATTTCCACCACTTACAAAATTTACAATTCACAGTTTGTGTATGTAAATGGCACATTGCCTCTTCTCTGAAATGGAATGTATCTGTGAAGATTCTTTTTTTTAAGGACCAGATTTATTTTATCAAAGTAATTAAATCTTTAAAGGAACGTATTAGGTATCTGAAGAAGTGATACCATTGTAACAAAGCGCGATATTAATGTAGACGAATGTCCGGTAAACTCGGTATTAAGGACAACCTAGGGAGCTATAAAAAGGAAATCCGGACAATTGTCGAGAATCCACGGAGACTGTTAGCTGTAAAGTAAATGTGGGTTAACCTAATCTTGTACTTTCCTTAAGCCTTCATATGATTACGCTATTTTCTGCACGCTAACACTTCCCTCCTTATAAAGACCAGGCCGACTACTACACGGTACACATACAGTGACAAAATCAGATTAGGCAAAACCAATATTTTTCTATGCGAATCGTCACATGTGGGTACTTAAGTATATATCACATTGTTAGATTCGCCGATAGTGCGAAAACAAGCGTCGGAAATACATAGCAACATGATCAAAATAAATCAGGAATGCTGTCTGTTTTTACAGCATTTACGACCTATTCAGTTGTTAATTGCAGACAGCATGGAGCACCAGCTAACACAGAAACACTGCGGCTGTAGTAACTAATAGTGAAATCAATCAATGGGGCTATGTAACTGTGTCATTAAAGTATGTGTTAGAATTTATGATAAGACTTCTTTCTTTTGCCCCTACGGAATCTTTCCATCTTAATGAAAATGATTGAAAATGTTATACACTTCAGATAGGTAACTAATGCTTCAAAACATGAGAACACATTTTTTTTTTTTTTTTTTATTAATTAATATAAATTCTTGCAGTTGTGAAATTCCAATATATTTGTATAGATCCAATAGTATACCTTAATAAGGTGGTTATACTCAAATTTTCTAAGTTGCTTTGGTAAAAAACATCACTGCATGTAGTTTAACTCATTCACCCCTGAAATATCATAATGAACTATTCCAACCTTTGAATTGGAGGAGTTTAAATGTGTGTTCAGGGGTGAATGAGTTAAGCTCATTTAATGCAAACGTGTCTGACACTGCTTTCAGGCCGGAACTTAGAACATCAAGACACAGCACTTAGGTAAACTTTGAGCTTCAGAACTTCAAATTTGATGCACAGATTTAATATAAAGGTTTGAGACAGCCTAGGACCTACAGCTTTGAGACACAAGATGTTTGATGCAAGCAACCAACAGCTTTAGCCAGGAACCTTCAGCTTTGAGTCACTGGACCTTTGGCTGCTAATGAACTGCAGATTTGATGCACAAGACCTAATCTCATAGCTATGAGACAGCCATAGATCAACATCTTTGAGTCACTGCAAGCATGAGTTATTAGGGACATGAGTTATGAGTTATTAGGGACATGAGTTATTAGGGACATGAGTTATTTAGGGACATACAGATTTTAGCTAGGACACCTTCAACTTTATGCCATGAAGCCTACAGCTTTGAGCCATGGGACCTACACTATCCTTCGAGACTCCGGAAGCTTGAGCCAGCCAGTACAGCTCTGAGACTTCCCATAGTCGACTGACCCTAGATAGCTGTTGCAATTGTCTAACCCTGTATCTTTCGTCACTTTAAACAAGATTTTATGAAAACTGTTTTACAGTTTTCTAAGTGCGAAACTCTTCTGAAGAGAAGGTACATAATATGATGCAGTAAACATAATGCATGCAACCTTAAGTAGATAACACCGTATTCCTAACAGACGCTCGGAGGCTATGTGGATGCGACAGATCAAGAGCTCTGTGAAGTGTTTGCATTTTTTTTTATCATAATCTCAAAAATCAAGTATTCTACAATAGTTTTAAACAGCGTAATGTCGTTAGTGTCAACTGGGCCGTTTCCATGGCCACAGAGCTTACATGTCAGTTCCGACATGACACACAAATCACATTATGATGTTTCACAATTGAATCCATTCCAAGGCTATTTTTTTTAAATTTTATTTTATGAGATAACAAGGGTTCTGGTTGTGGGACACAACTGTTCTCCTGAAAACAACCACAATTACAATACATTGTAGTTTAAATCTTACTCAGAATTGCAAACTGCTTTGGCATGCAACTTAATCATCTTCCAATTAGCTGAGTACATGTATATAACTATCATAAATCAAGAAGATGACGATCCTGATTGTTAAATTGCTTTTACATTTTGACTGCAGCAAGACTTTTTATTTATTCTTACTAATCATATACTAAAACCTTTCTAAACTGGATATCGCAAGCTTGATCTGAACTCTTTTTGTTCTGAATGGACAGGTTGTTGGAATACACAGGTTCAATTTAAATTAAGAGCTTTATATAATTATACATTAAAAATTTAAGATATAGTTTATAAGGTTTCCAGCTATATTATGTAGTACCAAGATTACACCGAGTCTTATCACTTATTCAAGTTTAAAAATCTGTAATATGTAGGAGAGATAGAGAAAAAAATGAAGAAAAAATAAAGATTCCCATCTGATATATGAAGATATATACTTTAATAAATTTTTAACCAACCTAAAAAAATAACAAAACGTTAAAATCTGGTAAATTAAGACAATAACAGCAGTTAAAAGTTCAAAATAGACCAATTTGAAAAATGTCACGTTTTTTTCATGGCCATTCTGAGCAGCCATCATTGATTTCAATATCGACTCTCAAAAAAATTTCTTCAGGGCCACTGATAACATTCCTTTTCAAATTTTAACCAAAATTGTCGAAGTATAAGTTAAAAAATCAAGTTTTAAAGATGGTGGTCTTGGCTGCCATCTTTGATTTTGGATTTAGAAATTATTGTTATCATGGATTCAAGTTATCCCCCCTCATTCTTCTTAACTCTTTCACCCCTATGTAACTTTAGTAGACTCTACCATGCATTGATCTGGATGAGTCCATTATGGTCTACAGTGGTGAAAGGGCTAATCAAAATGTAAATTTGACAAATATAATTTTTTACATTCCTTGATATTATTATCGTTTCAACTTCACTCAGAACTCTGCTTTCAAGGAGGAAACAAGTGAAATCTCAATTTTTGTTGCTTATTGATTCAGAATGACTATATAGGTCAAACATAAACATTTGTTATTGGAATGTAACAGGTACGATCAAATAAGAAGACGCTACCTACAATGTTTGCCCCATAATATTACTTTGGAGTTATTATTATTTGGAGATGATTCGTTTTCATTGGCTGAAAATAAGTTCATATTTCTAGTTGTACAGAATTATATTCTTAAAACTGGCAGATTGCTGTTTAGTATACTTGGTGATAGGTTTACATAAGTGTCTGCGACACTTGTTCCTATTTCCCTTTGTCTTTTCTGTTCATTGTAATAACATGCTTGAACTGCAATAAAAGAAAGTTTAAACTAAACATAAATGTAAAAGAGAAGGTCCGAAACTAATATAATAATAAATCATGTGGGAATTTACTTTCAAAGAAGAAAAATTAAATTGAATTTATCTCAGGCCTTCTTGAAAACTAAACATTCTTCAAGAACGGCAGCTCTCTCGACAAGTCTGAACTCCAACCCATTCCAAATTGAACGATATATCCCCCCTGAGATAGATTAGAATTACAGCATAGCTGTGGAATTTCTCAATCTGTCTGGGAGTATTCGCAGTAACTGAGCAGTAATAACTGATGGAGCATGCATCACCTCATTGAAATGGTGTCCTCTGCAATTTACCTCAAGGACAGTGCACTGGTAACAGACTCTAGAGTTTATCTTAACTCATTCACCCCTCAAGACACATTTGAACTAGCGCTTTTCCAATTCAAAGGTTGGAATGGTTCATGATGAAATTTCAGGGGTGAATGAGTTAAGGATGCCTGTCTCATTGAAGGCAAAACTCTAGAGAGTTCCACAATATTTGTTTCATACATACAGTAAGATCCCTTAACTCAATCACCCCTGAAAACAATTTTGAACTCTTCCATTTCAAAGGTTGGAATAGTTCATTATGAAATTTCAGGGGTGAGTGAGAAAAAAAGGATATAACTGTAGTCAGACTGAGCAAACAAACTGCTTTAGG